ACATTTATACAGTGTTTACTATGGGCCAAGCACTGTGTTAAGCACTTAACAAATATTATCTTACTTGACCCTCACAGCTACTCTGGAAGGAAGGTTCTATAATGATTCCCATTTTAGAGATGAAAAACATTAAGTTGGCATAGGATAAGGATATGTGATCATCATCTATCACATAATGAGTAAGAATCTGAGGTCAGATTTGAACTCAGGTCATTCTGACTCTGGACCATGCTTTCTACCCATTGTGACATGTAACTACAACCTAGTACATATACTGTGTGTAAAATGGAGATATGACTATTTGTGCTTCCACCTCACAGAGTTGTTATGTGAATCAAATGAGCTAACACTTGTTTAGTATTTTGTAACTTTAAAGGAACTCTATGAACACTTTAAAAAAAATAAAAAAGCCTATGTGCTTATAGGAACGTTTAACACTTTAGTTTAAAAGATAAAGACCCTATGTGCTTATAGGGTCATTTGATTTAAAGCTCAAAGGAATCTTAGAAGTTATATAGTCTAAATCTTCTTTTGTTTACCACTAAAGAAATTGAGGACCAAAAAACATTAAGTGATTTATCACACAAGTCTTCAAAAGTTTTAGTACTGAAAACCTTTCACTCCATCTACTGTTTGCTTTCTACTTCACCTGGAAGCTACTCAGGAATCAAAATCCAGCGGGTTCCAATCTTGATTCTGACATAAATAAACTTCAGTTCTCTGGACTCATAGATGAGAATAGAATCTATCTACTACATTAAAAATAATAAATCATATTTGGGATGGAGGCACTGGGTAGAGGGCTAACCTTAAAGTCAAAATGCACTGGGTTGTACTCATATCTGACACATGCTAGCTGTGTGGTCATAAACAAGTCAGTACTTCAGTGGTCTGTGTACATCTCTAAGATTATACCTTATACAGTTGTTTATTATTATTATTACTAATAATGATAACCCAACATTAGCCTAGCACTTTTATGTATGTAAAATGTTTTAGACATGTTATATAATTTGATTCTCAAAAAAGCAACATGTTAAGTGCTGTTATCCTTATTTTACAGATAAGGAAACTGAGACAGAGAAGTGACCTGCCCTGGACCATGCAGCTAATGTGTCAGAGGTAGGATTCAAATTCAGGTCTTCCTGACATCAGATCCAGCACCCTATACACTATGCCACCTAGCTGCCCCCAACCTTTCTGATCTGGTTAAATTCAATACCCTCCCTTTTTCTATTCTGCTTTATTATTGTCTTCCATTCCATTAGCCTACAAGGATACTGACCTTTCATTCAACTCTACCACTGTTAGGCCTATATTAAAGGACATAAAAGAAATAGGGAAGAGTCTTATTATGTACAAAATTTTGTATGTATGTATGTATGTGTGTGTGTGTATACTTACAATACTTTTTGTGTGTGTGTGTGGTGACAAAACCAGAAACAAAATGGATGCCTAACAAGGAAAGACTTAATAAGTTGTGGTATATAAATATGATCAAATATTATTGTAGTATAACAAATGAGGAAATAGGTGATTTCAAAAAGATATAGAAAGACTTTTTATGAACTTATAGAACAAAGAATAACATTAATGACTTATAAGATCTGCATTATAAAAATGAACAAATTTGAAGACTTTTATTGATGGATGAAAAATGATTAGATTTAAGACTTAATTTATAAAATAATAACACCAAACTACTTTGAAAGCTGTGAGAAATAAAATTGATATAATAATCATCAATGATTCCAAAATATCAGTGAAACATATTATCTACCTCCTGACAGAGAGCTAATAGATTTAGGATGAAGAACGGGACACACACAGATATACATATATCCATACTTATATCCATACATATAATACATGTGTGTATATATGCACATACATATGAATATATATCTATCTATATCTGTCACCAATGAGGGAATTTGTTTTGCTTGACTACGCATGTTCATTTTACGTTTTTACTTTTAGCAGTTAAAAAGTCATTTAACAACAAATGTGTTCTTTTTTTTTTGTTTGTCTTTCATTCTCAAAGAAGACCATGACATCAGGAAGTTGATGCCATGACTTACAAATGAATTGGATTTAAGTGAGGAAGAGCTATGCAAAGTCCCCAGACTCATTTTCTCTCCCAGAGTCAGCTGGGCCCAGTAACAAGATATAGATCAGGACGACTGGAGATGGCTCCAACTTTTTTAATGCATAAGTTTATTGCCAGGTACTGAAATATAGCAGTAACAAAAGCAAATAAGATGTATACTTTCAAAACAAAAGTAAAATCTTTGAAGGCAGATGCAGTCACTCTTGTCTGGCAAGAACAATTATATAATAAGTTTTATAGCGATCTATTTACCTGAATCAATGGGAATTATTTTTTTCCAAACTGGGATTTCCTCATGGTATCATAGATATGGACCAAAATTAACTGCCTCTTCAAAAAAAAAAATAACAAAAAAACCTCAATCTCAGGTAGGACATTGACATATTGAAGTTTCTTTCCACTATTTGATTTGTGGGAAATAAAGAATTAACTTCGAATTGAAAATAAAATATTAAGCAATCTTGCATTTACTATCTCTATCATGACCACTTTTTAAAAAATAACTTAATAAATGAATGCCATTACATTTACTGTGTAAGACAGTGCCTCACCCTTATTTTTCTCATTCATTGTCATAAGTGCCCTAATTAGAGATTAGAAAATTCTAGTGGATTTTTTTTTTTGGTGCATAGATAGTATATGTAATTAGTAAAATTGGTCTTGAAGTTGACAATCAGGAAAATGTAAATCATAATGTTGATTAGTTAAAATATTTTCAGCATCAAGAAGTTTCATTGCATTTTTCTTTTACTCAATTGGGGTATCCCAAGATCAGATTCATATCTTCATAGACAGTAATAGTTGGAAGAAACTTCAGATTTCACATAATCCAAGCTTATTTACATATGAGGAAAGTGAGGCTCAAAGTGATAAATTGACTTATCTAAGGTCACACAGTCAGGTGGTACAAGAGCAGGACGATGAAGTAAGTTCCCTTGACTCCTAGGTATTTTTTTTAATTACTGTTCAATATAAACTAGACTTTAAGGAATAATTTAAATATTTAAAAAATTTAATACTATAGTTGAAACATTTACCCATTATTTTAGGCAGCTGATGAGCTTTTGTTTTAATTAAGTAAATATAAATCTTATTTTAAAGAAAGTATTCATATAATTTATAGTAAATAGTGATTAAATGAGACTGTTCAGTAATTGTGCAATGCTATCTTCCTCATTTATTTGATAAGCTTGGCCTTTCTTCCAGAGTTAGTCCTTTGATCACATGAATTGATATAAGATTAGCCTTGTCTCTCCCTAGTTGTCAGTATAAGTATAGTAGAGAGAAAGGATCTCTGACTAGAAAAAAAAAAAAGAAAAGAAACTTTTTCTGCAACATTTTTTTTCTTGGGATGGTCCTCATAATGCAAGGCCTAAGACAACCATCTAATCAAGAGGCAACTAAATGTGTTAGCATCTCCACCGGGGTATTGAAGGAAATCAGGTAAAAAGAAGGGGGCTAGTGTATATTGGATTAAGCAAACCTATATCTGATGATGAGAGAAAACACATGGTGAGAGTCAGTGTTGTGAGTACTGGGGATAGGTCTATGATGACGGAAGGCAAGGAATAACAATGACAGCTGCCACTTTTTATCTAGTATCTTTTTTCCCTCGTCATTTGTCACTTGATTGTCACTTGTGATTCTTGTTTGGATAATCTCAGTTATCTGTTTTAGTACAGGGTAGCATTATTCCAGAGCCACTTCAGACCATGCAGCAAAAATGAGGAATAAGCAATGAGAAAGATTGCCAATAGATTCTATCTGAATTATACAAGCTTATCTAATGTCCAAATACTCATTAAGTCAACAATAATATATTAAGCAACTATTATATGCAAGGCATTGTGTTAAGAACAGAGAGAAATGAAAAAATCACCAGAGAGGACATCCAGTGTAAATGAATTTTGACACATACCTTGTAACCTTTATTTGCCCATAGCTCCATAACTGGCAACACAGGGAAGATAGAGCAGAAGGAACATAGATTTAGAGCTTACATCACCAATCAGATAGTGGTTGTACTATTTCAGTAGACTTGCTTATTTGTTCTAGAACACAGAATGCCATTCTCTGAACACCTTTCTAGAATTGTTTCTTTAATATTCATTTTTTATCAGTGCTTTGACCCTTGGATGCTGGCCCAAGCTTGTTTACTTTGATGCTACATCTTTCTTTTTCCTGAAAATAAAATTAATGTAATCTAAACTCAGTTTGCATCTTGACACTTAGTATGGTCACAACCTCTTCTCACCATGTCTGATCTCCTGGCCTAGAGTGATTATCAGCATATGGCGTAGTGATCTGCCATATGTAACAGACAGTTCTTAGCCCCTTTTCATGAACTGTCCCATCTTATAGTTGTCCATGACCTAGTGCTCATCTGTTATTTATTGCAGTAACACCAAATTCCAATATTTAACTTTTCCCAAGATTACATTCCCTTTTAAAGCTACACTATGACTTTGTAGAGGGGACTATTAAATTTGTGTTGTTAATAAAACCGTAAGTTTAGAGCCAAAAAGGACCCCTTGGATCATTTAGTCAAACCCTCTAATTTATTCATGAGGCAACTAAGGTTAGAGAAATGAACTGACTTGCCCAAGGTCACGCAGTGAGTATGGAGCACATATTCAAACCAAGGTTCCTTGACTCCAAGTCCAGTGTTCTTTCTATGGTGTCAGATTGAAATTAAATGGATATTTTCATTTTAAAATTAGGGATAATTTTACTGAAATAAATAACCTGGTTACCTTTCCCTTTGAAAATTTCATAGAGATTGGTGCCAAAATCAATAAATGAGGCTCAAGAAGATGCACATAGCAAGTTCCTGATAGAGAAACGCATGTAGAAAGTCCCAGTTTCCAGCCCACACCACAGGTGACCCAAATTAATGTTGTATGGGTTTGCTGAGCCTTTTTATTCCCAAATCATTCTTCAAGAAGCCCATAAATGGAGTCATCGTATCTTCACAGAAGTCCAGCTGAGCCAGCAAGCTGTCTGAAGTCATGTTCTCACCTTTAGAGAAGGGAGAGAGTTTTTTGAAATTAGCAAGGATGTCTTTGATTTCTTCTGCCATCAGTCATGAAAGGCTTGACTTTATCTGGCTTGTGTTCTTCGTGTCTGCTTCTGATTGATTTCATGTAATCCTGATGTGCTCTTTGTTGTTGCCTTTTATGAAGCCAATTTGCTGTAGGTGGTCATTCATTGCTTTATCATAATACTAGAGATATCTCAGGGTACCTTTTTTCTCTCTTCAAGCTGAGGTATTATCTGTAGTGATAATAACAATATTTTCACAGAGATAACATTGTGGATATGGAGCCTCATTAAAAGTCACAAAATCCTTGAGACAGGCAGCAAATGTGTTACCATCATGACTTTATAAATGGGGGAAAGGAGACTGCAAAAGCTCTGTGGTTGACCTTGAACATTGACCAGAATGACTAACAGTTATACCTGGAATTCTAAGAGAAGACTCTAACTCTTTTTCCTTCTTACTCTCATCAGGATTGAAAATATTGGTAAAAATATAACATAATCAGACATAGGGGTTCTAGGCTCTCTGAACATATTCACTCAACACTATTGCTTGGTGTCATTTACTTAATATCTCCAAAGATGAATACTGTAGCTCTTGTTCGTCCACACCCATGCCAACCAGGTATATTTCATCATACATAGGTGACTATATATAGCAATTTCTTACAGGTTATTTCCATGCCAAGAACATATAGCTATTTCTCTTTGGCATATAACATGATTTGATCATTTGTCCAAATGGCAAAATGTGACAGATTTTGGAACAGGAGGGATGTATAAGGTATATAGTCCCCTTCTCTTCCTCACCTCTAATATATGCTGACAGAAGGCTGCCCTCTGATCAACTGCAATACAATTCACATCTATACTTCATTGCTACTTTATTTTCACAACCACAATAAATCTGTCTAAACATGGCAATAACTCAGGTCTTATTAATGAAAAGCATTACACTAATCTATTATTGGGAGAAAAAGTTCTGATGATAAGAAGATATGAAAATATCACAAGAAGATGATATGATGATTCTGACTCCTAAAATACCCAAACATGAAAGTTCTCTACTTCTGTCAGATGTCCCCATAGAATAGGTGTGAAACCACATAATTTTCTGTGATTGTCAACTGGATTTGCTTTGTTATTCTCTATTTTGGAACCTGCTTTAGCCCCTCTGTGAAAGGCATTTTTTTAAAAATAATCAATTAATAATTTTGCTACACTAGCTTTGAAGACATTTGTCCAAAGAGAAATGAAGATTTCTAAAAAAACACCTTTAATCAGCTTCTATAAGGAAGAGGAGGAGATTCCATGCTTCCTATATCACTGTTGCCTATATTTGTATGTACACCTGTGTGTGTGTGTGTGTGTGTGTATATATCTATATCTATCTATATATCTATATATATCTATATCTATGTATGTATGATACTGTATACACATAGACTCATGTATATGCATATATATTTATAACTTAAAATGTGTTATCAAATGCACACACATTATTAATCTTCATCATTAATATTTTCCCATTTAAAAAAATCTAAATCATCTACAAAACAATAAAGCAAGCCAGATATGTAGTGTTTGCTGATTTCCAAGGAAGAAATACTCACACTAAAAATTTAAGAAACTCCCTCCCAGAATACCTCTGCTCCTGTGCGGAGAAACGAGACAATAGTATCAACAAAAGCCCACATTGATTTGGCATTTTAATATTTCCAAAACTCTTTATGATATTTTTTCATCCCCACAGCAACCCTTTAAAGTAGGTCCTATTATTTTTCCTATTTTACAATGAGACTATGTGAAGTAAAGTGAATTCCCACAGTTGTATAGCATAGTATGAGATAGATTGGGAAGATAATTTACCCTAAATCATGGAAGAGTTTGAATAGCAGACTAAAGAGCTTTAATTCTGCTTACTAATTCACCAGTGGACTTATAATGTGAGTGAATGGCAAGGTGTCCAGCACCCCATCTACCATTTTCCTTGAAGGTGTATCACTACACAAATTTCAATACCTATAACTTGATCTCCTTTACCTTAAGGAAAATGACATTTAACTTCACTTTTATGTAAATCTTGGGCTGCAAATTATTTTAGCACTTCTTAATCTGTGGTCCATGAACTTGTTTATTTTAAAATACATATGTTTTGATAACTATTTAAATATCACTTGTTTCATTCATAATCCTATGTATTTTATCTCATACTCTTAAAAAACATTTAAAGTATGCATAAGTAAATTCCAGTAAACTGCTGAAAAATGTCCATGGTATGCAACCCTTCTAAAAACTTTCTACTGCTGATGTCATTATCAGCGGCTGGAAACATGATGAATGAAGTGTGTGGAGTGAAAAACCACAAGCAGAAATTACAGCTAAGATAAAAGTGTGTTCTAAGCAGATATGTGTATAGCTCTCTTGTAAGAGATTTCTGTTGTGAGAAAGAGCAAGTAACAAACCTTCTCATGTTGAGGATATTATATTGATGAGCTCTATCTGCCCAAAGAATTGATTATTAAAAGCATTGAAATAGTTAATCTTTATCAGAAGATTAATACAGTAAAGAAACCTGAGGTATCCTAGGAACCCTTACCAGAGGATACTGATGGACCATGGAAGAGTTTAGTGACCTTAGCAGTGGAAGTCCATCACAGGAGCAAATGAACTATCCTTGCTAGGAATTTCAGCACTGAAGAAAAGAAATGTACCTTGGAAAGAGGGCAATTCTGTTAAAAAAAAAAAAGCAACATTATCACTGCTTAGTATCAGAGAGGACTCAAGAAGTATCGGGGTCAACCTTCTTTTTCCCACAGGTTTTTTGGCCTAGCCAATCAGTCATTCAATTCAAACATACCTCATTGCACAAGAAATCTAATAAGACATGATATCGTATGATTAATTAATGCAAACTCCTGTTTAATACACATAAAGTCTTGAAAATTACCACATAGATTATGTGGCTAAAACTCAAGGCAGAATCAGAAGACCACTCAATGGACATCTCCTAGTGTGAACATGCAATTATGAACTAAAATAGATGTCAGAAACTAATCTTTTTTCTTTGAGTGTAAGAACTATATTAGATAGAAGAAAGAATTATTGTGTTTAGTTGCAAACACAAAATTTTGAGTACTAATAAGTCTTGTAAGACTTGAGTCTCCAAGCAGGCCTGTCTTGCTGGCTAGATCTCAGAATATTCACATATTAGTTTCCTCACTAGAAAATTGGTGTTCTGTTTCAGTGACAAGAGTCTTTCACATAGGAAGTGCTTGATAAGTACTTGTTGACTGAATTACCAACTGGAAAACTGAAGATGATAAATTTGAAGATACTGAAAAAAAAAAGGAAGCTAGTTGATCTGATGTTAATTGATCTGAGAGGACCTCTGAGAGTACTCCAGCATCTGATTTTATTGTGGATAAGATTAGAGTAGTGGGATAGTGTCTCCGTAGTTCAAGATAAATTTTATTCTTAGGTCTATAAAGAAGGAATGCTACCTCCAAAATGACTATTGCCCCATCAGAGATTTTGTATAAGACATATTGTCATTCAGTTATGAGATTTCCTGCTATTTCCTTCAAAATGTGTCTGAACTGCCCCATGTTTGGTTTAGTACTCCAAACTTTCTTTTCACAGCTTCTGTCTAGTATCCTGGATTTCTTAACACAGGTATACTTTGGGTTGCCATAAGCATGACACTTTCTGTTCTTTTTGAAATCATTATTAGGGCTCGCATCATAATGCCCTTTTCCCCATAGACACTTTCTCTCCCTCTCCATGCTAAAAGTTTTAATCATCTGCATGTAGCAGCCCTATTCTAAGAGGTATCAATCATATAATATTTACAATGAGTAACCCTTTTTGAATCTAATTTAATTCACTTCCTATGTCTGTTTTTGAGACAAAAATACTCAGGCCCATGGTGAAAGAAAAGAAATGGCACAGTTTGTGAGAAGAGGGTCCCTAATATGATGTTAGAAATATTAGTCTCTATAAGGAATTGTTTATGATTATATCAAGGTGGCTTCAAGTTTATATATGAATGAATATCCCATCTTTGGCACCTAATATGCCTTGGGACTATTTAACAGATGGGTACAGGGGTTTCAGTATTCGATATATGCTTGATAATTGATTGGAATTTAAGAAAAGAAGGTAAGAATATTGTATCCCTAGGGTTGGTATGGAATAGAAAAAGGGTGAAGGAGAAGGGATCAATGCGTGCTTGAGAGCAGTGGCAATTTGAGACCCCAAAGGAAAAATACATTATTTGCGCATTCTCCAAACAGAGATCTGTGTGGATTGTCTGACAGAAAGTCAGACTGAGGTCAAAGCTAGTAGTTTTCAAAAAGTATTTATACAGAATGCTCTGCAGGAATTTGAGCAGAATTTGAAAAATGGCATTAATCTGGGGGAGGTCTACATAGTAAAAAAGGTTAGAGCTTATGTTGAATCTCATGTGATTTTACAATGGAATATTGGAGAAATGCCAAATGATGAAAGACTTCTTTATAAGAGAAAGGAAACAAAAGGAAAAAAGAGGAAAGGGGTTTTCTCCTTTTTTTCCTATTTATGGGTGAGTTGCCTCACATTCCATTTTGTAGCTAACATCAACCAGATGCCTTTTCCCTCCTGTTTTCAGAACACATGATCCAAGATCAGTCAAAAATTTCTTGGGAGATGAAGTTGAAGGGAGATGGCATAGATGAAATTTTCCAGAGGCATTTTTCCCAGCTCATCCTGCCATACTGTCTATAAATTTTAAGTCATCACAGTCAATTGCCCTTTATCTTTAACCATAATGGAGGATATGGTATTGGATTTCAAAGCCTCTCAATACATGTGGAGCAATGGTATTCCCTTCTCCAGCATTTCAATGACATGTATTTATGAGACTTTATTATCAAAGGCAAGCATGCCCTCAGACAAGTGAAGGGAAAACATAGCCTTTCAGCCAAGTGGCTTCCTATCTTTCTCTTACAGCCTGTTGGCTTAGTTCTGAGCCTAAGGGAAGAAGTGTACTTATCAAGAGTGTAACTCCTGGGCCTAGTATAATCATTTTTGTAGCATCCCTTAAGCAGGCCCACAAGCAGTAGCTAATCAATTCACCACCACAATGTCAAACTTGTTTTCCAGTTTTATCATTAGTACCAATAGAAGCATGCAAGTTCATTTGTATCTCCTAAGTTACTTTGCTTCCATTTTCTTACAAGATATTTTTAATATTAAATTGACATGTGATAGCTATTTGAGTGTGGCTGGCAAGGCCAATATGCAGGGTTTTTTTAATTTTTGAGAAAGAATTTTATATCATCATTCTGAATGGAACAGAATAAAGGAATTGCCACACTTGTTTAGATACATAATCTAGAAAAATTAATATTCTGTCTAAGTCAGAGGCAGGAAAGATGCATGGAGAGAGAAAGTTTGTGTAGAGGTCATGATTGCTGCTTGTAAATGTATTTCAACCACTTAAATACTTATTGTTGGCATACCAACTAGATTTGTATGTGTCTTTGAATCAATCCAAATATTTTAAAATTGTTTGTTCTTAATATTATTTCCTTTATGGTAATTCACCTTTCCTACCCTCTTGAACCCTCCTTTATAACCCTCCTTCATACTGCCCTCTTGGCAGTATATGCATCATTCTGAAACTATGCTCTACTGCCTCTAAGCTGAGAGGCAGGATGACTTCACGGGACTAAGTGTGGGGCATAACTCTTGCCTGATTCTGCTCACCTCATTCTGAAATAATTCAAAGAAGTTTCCCTCCCCCCAAATTTCTCATATTCATTTCTTATGGCACAACACTAACTTAGTCATATTTTCAACATATCTTTTTGGGAAAAAAGAATTCTAAAAGTTCAATATCTGAAAGTAGAAGCATCATTCTTTATTATTTGATCTTAATGTATTTATATGGCACCTTTGGACATGGAAATTCTTTTTTTTTATTCTTACTGAATATTTTATTATTTCTAAATTACAAGTAAAAATGGTTTTAACATTCTTTTTTTCAAATTTTAAGTTCCAAATTCTCCTCCTTCCCATCCCCTGTCGTTGAGAAGGCAAGCAATTTTACATAGGGTATAATGTGTAGTCAGGCCAAACACATTTACATGTAAGTCATTTTGTGAAAGAAACACAGACAAAAAAACCCTAAGAAAAATAAAGTACAGGGTAAAAAATGTATCTATGATCTGCAGTCAGGTTCTATCAGTTCTTGCTCTGGAGATGGGAATCATCTTTTATCATAAGTACTACAGAATTGTCTTAGATCATTGTATTGCTGAGAATAGCTAAGTTATTCATAGTAGATAATCATACAATGTTGTTGTTACTGTGTACAATGTTCTCCTGGTTCTGCTCATTTCATTTGGCATCATTTCACACAAATCCTTCCTTGCTTTTCTTTTTCTTTTTCTCAGAACATCCTGTTCATCATTTTTTGAAGCACAATAGTATTCTATCAAAATCATATATGACAACTTATTCAGCCATTCCCTAATTGATGGACATCCCCTCAATTTACAATTCTTTTCCACCATTAAAAGAGCTGCTATAAATATTTTTGTATGCATAGGTCCTTTTCCTTTTGTTTTAATCTCTTTGGGATATAGACCTAATAGTGGTATTGCTTGGTCAAAGAGTATTCATGGTTTTATCACCCTTTGAGAAGAGTTCCAAACTGGCCTCTAGAATGGTTGAATCAATATGCAACTTCATCAATAGTATATTAGTGCTTTAATTTTTCCCATATCCCCTCAAAAATTTGTCACTTTCCTGTTCTGTCATATTAGCCAATCTGACAGGTGTGAGATGGTAGCTGAAAGATGTTTTAATTTACATTTCTCTAATCAATAGTGTTTTAGAGCATTTTTATATGACTATAGATAGCTTTAATCACTCTATCTGAAAACAGCCTGTTTATACCTTTGACTTTTTATCAACTGTGCAATGGCTCTTATTTCTATAAATTTAACTCAGTTTTCTACATTTGAGAAATTAAGTTCAATACTTCTTTTTCAACAATCTCTTTATCAGAGGACCTCACTTATTTATGCCTCTCTTGTGTCTTGTATTTGAAAGTAGCATTTTCTATTCAGTCCTGGTCTTTTCATCAGGAATGCTTAAAGTCCTCTATTTCATTGAATATCATTTTTCCCTTGGAGGATTATACTCAGTTTTGCTGGGCTGTGATTATTACTTGTAATCCTCACTCTTTTGCCCTCTTCAATATCATGGTCCAAGCACTCCTATCTTTTAATATAGAAGCTGCTAAATCTTGTATTATCCTGACAGCAGCTCTATCATATTTGAATTGTTTCTTTTTGGCTGCTTGCAGTATTTTCTTCTTCAAATGGGAAGTCTGGAATTTAGCTATATAATATTCCTAAGGGTTTTGATTTTGGGGTATTTTTCAGGAGGTGATCAGTGTATTCTTTCAATTTGTATTTTACCCTCTGGTTCTAGAATATCAGAGCAGTTTTCCTTGATAATTTCTTGAAAGATGATGTCTAGGGTTTTTTGTTCGTGACTTTCAGATAGTCTGATAATTCTTAAATTATCTCTCTTGGATACATTTTCCAGGTCATTTGCTTTTCCAATGAGATATTTCACATTTTCCTCTATTTTTCCATTGTTTTGATTTTTTTTAATTGTTTCTTGATGTCTCATAAAGTCATTATGTTCCACTTTTCCAGTT